CAGCACTAGGCAACATATGGAAGATCAGATGCCCAGTTACACCGATGGGTTCCGTGAAAAGGTTTGTTCCCCAGTTTCTCATTAAAGCTGCAGCCCTATTGCCTCCCATGAACGAGACTGATGTTTGTGCAGATACTCTGCAACCCCCATGTGGCTTAGCAACCTTGGGAATGGCACCCCCACACCGGGTCACAATACCTTGACCACACTTTGTGATATCACTTTTCATCACCTTTGTAAAGTCTCCAGCAGAGACTTTAGGTAGAGTCATCATGTCCTCAACAGAGGAAAGCAGCTTGGCAACAACTCCTGAAAACCAAAAAGTGGAAAAGACAGAAGACCTTTCCTCCAACAACACAACTGGGGTGAGGAAGTCAAATCTATTTCACTGGACTGATCAGGAGGCTTCCAACATAGAGGTGGGTGAGGAAAGTTTTCTTCCAGGTACTCCTTTTAAAAATCTGTAGGTTTCCCGAAACATCCTATTGGACATCCTAAAATATACCTTTGTTTTTTGGATCCTAAAGGGCTCCTTTAACAGCCTGATTTCAATGAAGTGGTAACTTCTGAAAACCAAAAAGTGCAAAAAGCAGAAGAGCTTTCTTCCAACAAAACATCAGATGAAGTATTCTAACAGTTTGGGGACTGAAATAGGCAGCAGGGAAGGATCACCAGTGACCACAAGTTACAACGACTCTGAAGAAGATGTGAAATTGGAGGCATGACACCATCATCAGAAATGGAAGATGAAAGGCAGCTTCATCCAGCACTTTGTCAGTGGCTTGTGCTTAGGAAAGGAAAACTCTGACTTCAAACCCCCACTGAGGCGCCGCCATCGCCCTCTATGCTGTGAGGGAACAGGCTGTATAGGTGGGACTCGTTCAGCCCTGGAAGGCAGCCCATCTAGGAGAAGGAAACTCTGACTTCCAACTTCCACTGCCTTGTGGCTATTTCCACCGATGGAAAAGGCTTCAGGAGTTAACCTCGAGGCAAAATCCAGAGCCAGAGTCCCGGAGTATTCTGGAAACTCCTGCAGTGTTGCTGAAACCAGTTGTATTGGCTCTTGCCTTTCCATTGGACTATTTCAGTGATGTGGAAAGGGGAGATTTGCTGCTTGGGTAACAGCCTATACTCAATATTATTTTACCCAGGCTTCGTGCTCTGGAGAGGACACTCCAGCTTTGCATACAGCATCAAAACACTAGACGCTGTTCCAAGTCCTCCATACAGAGAATGTTACCATAGTCTCTTGAGACTGAAGGATGCCTATGAATGTGGGAGAGTTTAACTCTTGCTCAGGTTTGTCATGTGTTGGTTGCCTGTGGTTTGTTTCTTCCAGGCAGGAGAAATTTGTAGACAGTCACACAAACAAACACCCCTCCCACACTCCCACACCCCCCACACCCTCTGTATAGGTATGTGTGTGTGTGAGAAAGACAAAGACATAGAAAGTGTGAGAGACATGTCTCAATTGTGGGGTGATAGAAGAAGATAGTAGGTTGAAGAAATATTAATCAAATGAGAGTCATTTTACTTATAACTGTTTTCTTATTGTAAGATATTTACTGGACAGAGGTGCTTGTATTTTTAACCTCCCTCCAATATAATATAAGTTCTATATAGAGTGGTTGTTGTGGGTTTTTCGGGCTCTTTGGCTGTGTTTTGAAGGTGGTTCTTCCTAACGTTTCGCCAGTCTCTCTGGCCGGCATCTTCAGAGGACAGCACTATACAGTGTGTTTGTAGCGGTGAAAATGTGGCCTTTGCAGATCTGCCATGTTCATATCTCTGACAAGTGAGCCAAAGATTGAGTGGTATAGCACTATGTCTAAACCATTTTATGATATTCTTTTAATGTTTAGGAAAAAATAATTAGAACACTGGAGCCGGTAGACTTAGGAATAAAAGACTGAATTGCCTAAGCCAAAAAAACAAAACAAAACAAAAAACCCAAGATTATTAAGCAAATGCTAGCTTGTAGTACATAAGCAAGGAAAAGTCGTTCTTGGGAGAAGTGCTAGCACATGTGCTGGTATGTGCAAGAGTCTCTTTTGGACTGTAGGAGTTTCCTTTCTAAACTACCGTATTTTTCCGTGTATCTAAAATATTTAGATTAAAAATTTAGGATCGTCTTATACATGGAAGTAAGGAAGGGGGAGGGATCATAGCACTTTGATTCCTGCTTTCCCCCTCCACTTTTTGTGAAGAAAGTGGAAGGGGAAAGCACTTTCTTATGAGGAAACTGGCCTGGGAAGCACATTCCTGACAAGAAAGTGGGAGAAAAACAAGAATCGAAGTGCTTTGATCCCTGCCTTCCCCCTCCACTTTCTTGCGAAGAAAGAAAATATAGTTTAGAAAAGTGGGGGGGGGGTTCTTATATGTGGGGGGGTATTATACACAGAAAAATATGGTACTCCTGAGCAGATGGCAGGGGGGAAAAACAGATTAAGTCCCACAGTTTAGAAAAAGAATGACACAGATAGGTTGGTGGTTTTTCACCAAATTCTGTATGTGCCTCCTATGCCAAACTAGTGGGATTTCAGCATTTTTTGTTGTTGTTTAGTCGTTAAGTCGTGTCCGACTCTTCGTGACCCCATGGACCAGAGCATGCCAGGCCCTCCTATCTTCCACTGCCTGGGTCAAATTCATGTTGGTAGCTTCGATGACACTGTCCATCCATCCATCTCATCCTCTGTCGTCCCCTTCTCCCCTTGCCTTCACTCTCTCCCAACATCAGGGTCTTTTCCAGGGAGTCTTCTCTTCTCATGAGATGGCCAGTTGGACCCTCAGCTTCAGGATAGCATATTAAGGATTAAATAGTCCTCTAAGTGTCCCCCCCCCCCGAGCTCTCAGCAGGAAAAAAAGAGGTCAAACTTGAAATGGCTGAACATGTGCCAGTAGACGAGTTTTGGTAATAAAGCCTTTTTGATATGAAAGAGTGTTGTGAATCTTCTGAAGTAGATATTTCAAAACTTTGCACCCACTTAATTCAGCTTCTAATAATCCTGTTCATTTCACACTACAGTGATGCCTCGCCAGACGAATGACTCGCACAATGAAAAACTCGCAAGACAAAAGCAGTTTGCGATTTTTTTGGTGACTCACAAGACAAATTTTTCTGTGGCCACGCTTCGCAAGATGAATAGGAATGCGTTAATTAAATTTCAATGCATTCCTATGGGAAACCATGCTTCGCAAGATGAAATTTTTGTGATACGAAACAACTCATGGAATAAATCTCTAGTTTTGGTTGGACTGAAACACTTATCATCCCTGAGCATTGCTCATGCTGGCTGAGATGGTTGGCAGCTGGTAGAGAAAGGGGCACCAGTTACCTGCTGCTGTAAGGTCGTGGACATTCCTTCTTGTCTTCCTCCCTCTTCCTTTTTCAACTGAAAAGTGTAATTCTCACAAAATTGGATTCTGTGGAACCTTCTGTTTTTGTGTGCTCATACAAGATACAAAGTACAGTGGTGCCTCGCTTGACAAGGATAATCCGTTCCAGCGAAATCGCTATAGAGCGAAATCGTCGTCAAGCGAGGGAAAAAACCCATTGAAACGCATTGAAAACGGGTTAAATGTGTTCTAATGGGCGAAATACCTCAGCGTCCAGCGTAGATCCTCCATAGGGTGGCCATTTTCCGATCGCTGTCCTAAAAACAGCGGAGAGCCATTTTGCACAGCGAGCGGTCATTTTGAAACCCGATGATCAGCTGTTTTTAAATTGTCGTAATGCGAAAAATCAGTTCCCGAAGCAGGGAACCGATCATTGGGTTAAATGCGTTCTAATGGGCGAAATACCTCAGCGTCCAGCGTAGATCCTCCATAGGGTGGCCATTTTCCGATCGCTGTCCTAAAAACAGCGGAGAGCCATTTTGCACAGCGAGCGGTCATTTTGAAACCCGATGATCAGCTGTTTTTAAATTGTCGTAATGCGAAAAATCAGTTCCCGAAGCAGGGAACCGATCATCCTTAAATGAAAATCGCCCTTTGAATAGCAATCACAAAAACATTGTCGTGAAGCGATTTCGTCGTTTATCGAGGTAATTGTAAAGCGGGGCACCACTGTAAGTAAAACACAGGCTAGGCTGTGTAATTCCTGTATGAGAAGACCACAGGTGACAGAGTAAAACATAGGCTAGGCTATGTATTCCTGTATGAGAAGACCACAGGTGACAGCTTATGTATATCGCCTGCAAAAGATCCATGCTTCAATTCCTAACAATTTGAGCTGGGAAGGTTTTTCTGACTAAACTGGGGATATGAGAGCAAAACTACTAAATTGTTTGGTTATTTACTTTTTAATTTTTTAACATACCTTTCAGTCAAAAACGGCCATCAAGTCAACACTTCAACCAGAACACATATTCCTTCCATTTCTGCACTTCTCCAAATGTGACACATGTCTGCAATTTAAAAATGCACGTAAAAATTCATATGTTAGGGGGAATTTATCTGAAGATTCTCAGTCATCCAGGTGAGGTTATCTAGAAGCTGAATCATAGCAACTGGACTTCTTTCTTGTTAGGTTGAAAGTAGCTTCTTCAGTTTGAGGAAAATTGGTAGGAGACCCCCTCCCATATATCCTCCACGTTGGTTTTACTTCCCCCTGGTTCTGAATAGATGGACAAAGGACAGTGGGGGTGAGTGAAAATCCCACTTCTGCAGTCCTTTTGCACCCATTGTCCTGTTAATAGGCAACAGTGGTCTTTCTTGTGTGTATGGTCTTGATCTGGGTCGTTAATAGGCAATAGTGGTCTTTCTTGTGTGTATGGTCTTGATCTTCTTTGGGAGGAATGAAAGGGCAGCATGATAAATAGGAGACAGATTGTATCTAAAGCCTCCACCCCTGCTGAGTGAGGGATTTTCTATATGAACATGTATGGCCTCCCTGACCCCTTTCTAAGCCAGTTGGTTGTCTTGGGGTGAAGATCAAGATTTAGGAAGTACAGGCCTCCACAAATCACATCAGTGCAGTGGACCCAAATATCAAGTTCACCAGGGAAAACACCAATGACAACTGGCTGGCTTTCCTGGATGGTGCAGTCATCATAGGATCCAACAGCAGATTAGGAATAGAAATCTACAAAAAACCTACAAAGACTGATCAATACTTGCAATTTGACTCTTCACTCATTGCAACATAAACTAGGGGTCATCAGGTCGTTAAACCACTGAGTACTTTGATATGTGCTGGAGAGGCCCTTTTCACACTCCTGCCATCTTCAGAGGTCAGCTTGGTAGGTACTTGAGGAGACCTTTTTTATGCACTCACTCATTCTCTCTCACACACACACAGACACGCACGCACAACTTCTGCAAGCAAGAAGACACAAACACATACACGCCCTCTTTTCCTTCTGCGAGCCGGAAGAGACATTTTATTAAAATTATTCTAGTTAGCCTTGACCAATTTATAATCTTGAGCTAATCATAATCTTCAACTTTTGGCTGATATGTTAGTTTTCTCTTTTTTTAAGGTAAGGTAGTGTTGATATTCCAGTTAAGAGATTTTCAACAAGTTTTTCTACGAATTGTATTTTGATAATAGGACACATTCAACTAATACTTGTAAGTTTACTTTACTTGAATTTTATTTTTAAAGACTGTTTTAAGTTGACATGGGTTCCAGTTCTGGGAAAGGGTGGCATGTTAAATACAAGCATAGATAGCTGATCAATCTGAGAAGTGTTGCAAATAATAATGTGAAGGAGACAGGTATCACTTGAGATGAATCTGGAGGAATATTTTTTGGATTAAAACTTTCAGAATCCGCCAGACATCTCGACCTGACACAGTACCCATTGTTGCAGCCATTTTGTGCATGGCCAAGCTACACAACACTCTACAGCAGTTACTTTGTGAGAGAACTACTTTGTGAGAGAAGCCATGACAGCTATACGGTTTCAAATATAGTGAGCAAAAAACGTTGGCAGCCTCTACTTTATAGTACTGTATACTCCAGTGGACAATTTTAAATTGAGTATTCCTTCCTGCATATGAAAGAAGGAGAATCACCTTATGTCTATGGATACATCTATTAGTATTACTCTCTCTGTTTTTTAACGTGTCTGAGATAAACAAGGGCATCTTCTTCCGGTCTGAGAAGCTTTAATCAGGTAATACAGTTGATTATCTGACTAAACGTTGTATCCTTAGCTTGAAGTGAATGAACTGTATAAGCGGCATCATATTTGTTTTGCTTCATTTACTGAGTCACCACAGGTCATTATATTCCTTGGATTTAGCTTTAGGGATGGCATTGGTTTTATGTTACATGTCATTTGAGTGTGACACAGATT